AAAAGGAAGATAATCTGCACAGTCCCTCCAAGAGCTTCTGTATTCTGTTTGCAAAAGAGACTTGCACAAAGCTTGCAACATCTTCCCCTCTGCACTCCTGACATAGCAGGCTTCTGTGTGGTGTCACTCTACTTTGACCCGTTTCTTTTGTCTAAGTTCCAGATTTTTGGTACTCCAAGGATTATTGTTTCACTGTGTAGTTTGATGCCTTTGACTACTTGTATTTTTGATTTGATATTGCAAGCAAAGATGAAAAAGTAATTACATGGATGAAAAAGGGAAGAAAAAAAGGGAAAAGAACTAAATTGTCATTTTAGTGACATACCTGACGTGAATCCACTGCTGCATACATAATATCCGTCCAACCTTTAAAAGTTACCTGAAAAAAATGCCTTATTAAGTTTGTTATCACTGAGAAAAATCAAGTATAGCTAATATAAATGTGTTGATAGTTGTGGAAAATGAGCAGTGTGCTATAAAAAATATGTATCGCTTCTAAAGATCTGCTGGGAAGTATCACTGGAGTTTAGTAAGGAAAAAAAAAATTTCCTGAAAAGAAAACAAAAAAAATCATGACTGATGTGAAATGTATGTTAATGTTAACTCTCATTAAATTCAAAAATTTTGTAAAAATAATCAGTAAAATTTTCAGCTTAACTTACAAATATAACATAAAAGAATAAAAACAATTTCTAAGAAAACAACAGACAATTCCTTCCTGCAATTTTTAGCAACTCTGCAGAATCATAGAATTCTTTGGAGGATCCAGGGCAAAGAACTTCGTCTAAAAAAGATACAGGAATAACAACCAACTTAAAAATTGCCTTTCTCTCCTTTGTTGTCATGTTAGGGAGCTCAATAAATTAGTATCCCAATCCTTCATGACTTCTACAGCAAAAGAAAATATAAATAAACTGTGCCCTGATTTTCTTTCTCATCCATTCTAAACTAGAGAAAATGAGAATATTTTTAATTCAGTAACTTGCAGACTCTGTCAGGCTTAGTGTGTTAATCAAAATTCAAACAAAATTGAAAAGCCATGAAACAGAGTTCTTGATTTTAACTCAAGGTTGCATATGCTCAAGTGTTCTTTAGGAAGAACTGAGCAGGTCACTAACATGGAAAATATATATGGAAGCTAAAAAATATCCCCATTTCCACCGAGATAAACAGAAGCATAGAGTGTCCCATGGGTGGGCTGCTCAACCCATTTCCTTGAAGAAAACAAAACTGAGAATGTTTTTATAGAACTCACCACTTGGAGTAGAGCCAAGTATCCCATCCCAACATTATCAAAGTTTACAGGAGAATTTGTCCATTTTCCACCATAGGACACACAATTATTTCTGTTATTAATGGCATGGATATCTCCTTCCTGGAGTATGCACTTTGAAAATTTTTTCCCAAACAATTTTACTCCTAGAATGTTAAATAGGAGCCAAACGACAACACAGACGAGCAAAACATTGCAGATTGAGGGGATAGCTCCGAGGAGTGCATTGACAACAACCTGAACAAAATGAA